ATATCTTTAAATGAAAAAGATTTAGAGCACCACAATACATGATATATGCTGTTTTTGCATCTTGGACACTTGATAACTCAAAAGCTCTCCATTTTTGACTTTTTACCTTAAGAGACTTTTGATCAAGACAACTAGAATATAAAATATCAAAAGATTCAGCCAAATCTACCAGGACTAATTTTCCATAAGGCTTGTAAAGGATGCCTTTCATTTCATGCAATTTTAATAGCTAAAACTTAAAAATGCATGCAGTCTGCTGGAAGCCTATAAATTTCACTTGTGGCCTGCATCCTGAGAAGGTTGTTCATCACTATACTAGATAATTAACAGATACTTTAGACCTTATGATTATCTAGTAGAGAATGCAGCATTACCTTCTGGGTTTATAGGTTTATAACATTCTTACAATTCAATTTTTAATAAAGCTATTTTTGTTTTTGCACTAAAGGAGGATAAGCAAGGAATAATTTTCTAAAAGAAAACAATTTAACTTTATTAGTTTAAACTATTTTCTTTCATTTAAAGAAAGGAAAACATTATATCACATCATTATGTTTGTGTTTGTGATTATATTCTGTATTTATAGTTTCCAAATTTTAATATTTTAAAACAAAATTTCATAAGCTAAAAATTATACAAAGAATACTTGATTTGGGTTAACATATATATTTATAATACAGTAGTACCTCAGGATACAAAATTAATCTGTTCCTAAACTGAGATCATATCATGAAAATGTCATAAGATGAATCATTTTTCCCCATATGATTACANTAATTTAGAAAAATTCTGTTCTCCCATTTTTTGTTTGAATAAAGAAATGACTCCCTTATTTTTTCCTGTCATTGCTGCCGCAACACTTCAGAAAATAATATTCAATTTAAACTAGACGAATTACATCGAAAAATATTTATTTATTTCTTCTAAACATCTCGCGGGCCGTAACTGGCCCGCGGGCCGGGGGTTGCCCACCGTTGGTACAGAGCACGGCGATATATACTATCAATGAGGCGATTAATGGTTGCTAAGGTATCCCTGATAAGCTGCGTCCACTACGCCATGCATGTCGTCTATGGTATGTGGTGGTGGTCCCCATTAATTAAGTATTTCTAGGCTGAAGGCAACTCTTCAGCATCCCTAGCATTAATGCATGTATCATGCAATCTGCTCTTATATATTTCAATTTTCTCGGCGCTAATCGCCAACGTCGGTGAATGTACTGGTTTAAAAATACTTGCTTCGTCTCATTTGACCACTGAGCCCCCCAACTTGCGCCATCTGCGATAGTATTGTGACGTTAGATCTTTTGCTGACATTGTACTGTACATTCACGTCTATGGAGATAACAAAAGATGCATGTTACACTTTTATAGCATTATACCGATTCGGGCGGCGCCTGAGTTGACAAGATCCGCGTTCGTGGATTCGGCAGCTGCTCACATTAGAAAACTTTGACATAATCTCACTGGGCCACCAGTAGCGATTGCAGTCAAATATGACATATTCACAAACACATTCACTACTTCACTCAAACAAATAGACAACATGCATTAACTAACTCAGCCAATAACGCTCGCTCTGCGTCTCCACCACCACGGGCATACAGTGGCCGGATGGCCGAGAGGTTAGATGGCAGCCTACCGCTTTGGGGACCTTGGATCGAATCCGGACGGGTCGAGAAATCCCCAGAAATTTTTCGGGAAGTGGTCCGGCCGGGCCCACAATGGGGCTGCCGGGTGATAGGGACGGGGTCCGACATATCCGAACGGACCACCCCCGAAAAATTCCTGGGGATTTTTCGATCCGTTCGGATTCGAACCCAGGTCCTCCAAAGCGGTAGGCTGCCACCTTCACCGCTCGGCCATCCGGCCGGATATGTAGACCCCCCATCCCTCACCACCCGCCGAACCCATAATGTGCTTGCTAAAAGAGAGCCTCTTAGTGCCAGAGGGTGGAAAGAGTAAAAACAAACCCTAAATAGCAATGAAGAGGGAACGAAAATATACGTCGTTCCGAAATTATAATGTAACAGTAAATTAAGCGAATTTGCTCGCCATTGGAAACCTTTGCATGTTAGAAGTGTTATACTGTATTGAAATTCTCAAACTTATTTGAAAGTTTACAGAGAAAAGAAAGATAGAATTTCAACACATCCCATCCACAATATTAAAATTAGTTAATCAGTATTATTTATGAATACATTCATTTATTAATATGAAATCTTCAAATTCGAAGATTCTTCAAATTATCATATAATTTTAATACACTGCAAAATTTACTTTAAAATTTATATAATTTAAACTTGACGTTTTAATAACATACAGTATGATTTAGAACTGACTCAAGATTAAACTTGCCGCCATATGGTCAAAATATATCCTATCTATCTCAAATTATTAGTGGCTTGCCCCTGTATGTCGTACTTTTCCGTTAAAAATAGTCATGCCGGTCATCTACCTCCTTTCAGGGTAAAGTGCTTGAATTGAAATAACGTGACTTCCGGTGCAAACCGGAAATTGATGTATAGTCAATTTGAATCTCCTGCTCCTAAGCTTTCCATACTGTCTCGGATTTCATCTAATTCCGTTCTCGAGATTAAGGGGAGACACATAGTGACAAGAAGGAATTTATATGCTCTCGAAAAATTGCAGCCCAATAATAATAATGATAAATTGAGATCATATGTAGTATTTCAATAAAGACTTATTCTTATTTACAAATTAGGAATTGTTTAACTATAAACTTACTTCTTGTAGTTCTATCAATAATATCCATCATCTACTATATAAAGTTGAAAAACGGGATTCTTTCTGTCACTGTATGCCAAAAATGGCCACTAGGGGTGCCCCTAGCTATTATTTAAATTAAATTTAATTAACAATATAAATGATTTTATTTTTTTACAATATAATATTCAGTATATTATTATTATTATTTGTAATTTAGCATGCCCTGATGCCTACACTGGGTCTTTCGACTGGTTTATATATAAAAGAATAACAAGATAGTATGAAAATTTCAGACTTTGTTCAGAGTTTTAAAAATTAAGAAAATCTTTAAAATTATTTTTATAATTCTGAAAAAATCTGTATTTTAATGTATTTATTTTTAGACAATTTCTCAAAAATAAGAATCTGAAAAAATTTTGACCTTTACTTTCTGGATAATTTTGCAGATGATGGGCAATTATCTAACTTCAAAAGTTTGGGTGGACAACCAAGCAGTGTGTCAGAATACTGCTCTTGAAAACTCGGGTTCAAATCTGGGCTATTAATAAACTCCAGGAATTTTTCAGGGAGTGATCTGTTCTGGATATGTCAAACCCCATTCCTTACCACCTGGTTGCAAGGGGGTAAGGAATGGGCTTAATAAAAAGGTTCTTTAGTGCCCACAGGACAGAAAGTTTTAAAAAAAGTTATTATAAATGAATATTTTTGAGAATGAATAACCTAAACTGAAATTTTGTTAATGATTTATCTGTATATCATTTAATAAGTTGCTTTTTATGTAAATATTTGTTAAATTATATTATATAAAGTTAATTAAATAATATTATCTGGGTATGTATATATATATATACAATTTGAAATAGAATAAAAACTATTACAATATATTTTTAAAAACTTTTTTATCAACCATTTTATAAATATATAACAAGATAAAACAACAAAAATATATGTATATATATTAAACAATTATTTAATGTAAAGTGCAAACTGATTTAATATTTATTTGATTTCTTGTTTGTTTTAATAGGTTTTATAAATTTTCATTTTAAAAAAATTGTTAAAATGTCCTGATAAACATTTATCAATATGTACAAAATAACAGTAAATTTATTGTTATTTTCTATTAAGACAAATTAGATGTAGTAGATACATCTGGAAATTGAAACCTGTAGATTAATATATTTTAAATTTCAACGCTTCACTAGATATAAATTTCCATTAATACATTTTATTATTTTATAATATGAAGTATGTTTATGTATATTTATATGTAGATTATTATTGAAAGTATATTGCAATAAGACACACTTGAAGAAACAAGACATATTCTTCAGAAAGATTTTAAATAATTTTGAAATTTTTCTATATCCAATGAAATTACCATCATATCTAGCATAACGATATGAATAATATGAGAGAATTTGCATATTCTGCTTTATAAATAAATTTACTATTTAACAATTTTATAATAAATTTTGTTCAATATGTATTTTAATGATAAATATTAAGATAAACTTATTTTAATCAATATATTATTATTAAATCTGTCAATAAACCATAACATGCAATTTGATATTACAATTAACAATCCACTATACATTTCATCTAATGGAAAGGAAAGACAGTTTCTTTCCTAATGGAGACAACAACTGTAGATTATTTTTCTAAACTAAATCACTTAATTAAGTAATATATATTTTCTGGTGTAAATAAAATTATTTTATAACTATGTAGCAATAAATTGTGATACTTCATCATATGAGATTAAGTTTTATAAATAATTTTTCATCATATAAAATAAAAAAGACAATTACTGTAGACCCCCTATAACACTGTAGATAATTCCGTTTTATATGAATTCCATGTTGTATGTGTCATTTAGATTTTACAAATACATGAGCCGTTCACAGCCCGGCACACGTATTTGTAAAATTTTTCTAAGTGACTCATGCAACATGGAATTCATATAACACGGAATTATCTACAGTGTTATAGGGAGTATACTGTACAAATACTTCACACAAATAAAACAGATCATTTCTTTTTTTTCCAAACTAATTACTCACAATTTAATTTATTTTAGTTTAATAAAACTATATTTGAAAGTTTAAAACTAATAATAAATTTTCTCTTAAATATTAGAAAATATTTTACCAAATATATTAATGTGTCCTGTTTAGATTTTATATCAATTTATAAAAAGAATATAATCATAAATATTTCCCTCAGAAATAATAATGATATATTACTCCAATTGCACTTGTGCCAAACCAAACAGCACATAACCACCATGTCATAAATCCTAGCACACCTCTATACAACACAGGAGTAAAAACATGCTTTAGATTATTCAGTGTCAAAGAAAATTGCTGACTTGTGCTGATAATTGTATCATCATTTACAATAACTGGTGTTATTGGCAAAGTTTTGTTTTGGTTTGAAACAGGTAACCATAAGTAACTGCTCCATGTGTATTCACCTACAGAAATAAATGCTTGTTGTTATTAACAAAAATCATTTACTAACTTATATTAACATAACATAAATAATATATATACGTGGTACGATCCAAGAGTTCGGGGACTGCAGTAATATATGACAACAAAAGCATGTATTTAAAGTTGCAGCATATGAAATGGATTTTATCAAACCACCCCTACGTGTTCAGGTTGATTTCGCCCATGTCACATGATTAAACCGCGAGTGCTGTTGTTTTTTTTCGGAGATAGTTACCTTTGTTTTGCGACGTAATAAAAATGGAGTTTCAAGAACAGCGCTGCAACATTAAATTTTGTCAGCGTTTAGGTAAAACATCTATGAAGACTTTAAAATTGCTAAGAAAGGTGTACAGTGATTCTACCATGGTGAAATCAAAGGTTTAAAGAGGGCCGAGAATCCATCGCAGATGATGAACGCTCTGGCTGACTTTCGACTTCACGGAACGAGGAAAATGTTGAGTTGGTCTCTCAATTATCTAGACATTTTACGTCGTTTGTGGGAATCCATTCGTCGTAAACGGCCACAGATCTGGCGAAGTGGAAACTGGTACCTTCTGCATGACAACTCACCTGCACATCGGTCCCAAATGGTCACACAGTTTCTCGCAAAATCTCAAATTAATGTGCTTCCACATTCCGCCTATTCACCGGACTTAGCCCCTTGAGATTTTTATTTGTTTCCATTAATGAAAAAGCATTTGCAGGGACGCCGTTTTGTGTCATCAGATGAGGTGAGAGCAGCATCGCAGGAGACCTTACGGGAGGTTTCAAAAAATGGCTTCCAGCAGTGCTTCCAGAAGTTATATGAGCGCTGGCAAAAGTGTATCGTTGCCCAAGGTGATTACTTTGAAGATGGTTGTGCATCGGCAATATAAACTTTTTAAGGTAAGGAATTTTAAGCAAAGTCCCCAAACTTTTGGATCGTACTACGTATATGTTCAATATCTAGTATTCTTGATTT